ATATAATATACATATGTTATAATTATTGTATTAAATAAGAAATTATAAATTAAAAAATTACTGAATTTTAATAAATATTTTTTCGAATAGTACTAAACATTCGTTAAACATTTACTTACAGCAAATAAATATTTAATACTTAATCAAAAATAATGGTTAAATCAAATTAATGGTTTTTGTACCGAATAAATATATTTTTACATTAAATAAATTTAATACTTTTAAAACAAATATTAATTAAAAGTTAGTACATATTTTAGTTTTACATAAATATGTAACATTATTATTACTTTGTGTTTAACAGAAGTGATGTGTATAAATAGCATTAGATTTAAATTTACATACCCAAAGTATCCCACACGAGTAACAAAGGATTAAGCGATTCGTATTCACCAAAATAGATCACTTCGGGCGTTCCTTCCGCTGAGAAATAATCAATTTAAAACCGGCGAAGGAATTCCATTACAATAGATACGAGTCCTCGAGCAATTTGATATTACAAGCGTCTATTGGCCGATGTCCCGTCGATCTTTTTACTGGGTGTTCCTTCGCTCGGAGCTGAAGAGAGAGAGAGAGAGAGAGAGAGACAGCATTCAGAGATATTAGGAAAATCCACGCGTACTCATCCTTGCACTCGTACGTACGTTACTCCAATTCCCGATGCGAATCGGAACGCAAAGACCGGTCAAAGGCGCGTCGTCGTCCTGGTCGCCTTCGGCCGCTAGGAGCGCGCTAGTCGCGAGCGCGCACTTCGGTCGCGCACGACGCTCAGTCTGCCGCAGTCAGCAGCGCGTGTGGGTTGTGTTATTCTTTCGTCGCGTCGCGTCGATCTCTCTCTCCCCCCGCTCCTCTCCCCCCTCACTCTCTCACTCACTTTGACCGAGAGATCGCACGAGCTAGATCCTTCGTCAGGTTCGTTCGGCTCCTTGTACCCAGTGCTTGAGAGAGTTCGTTACTTCGTGGGAACGCGTTCCTACGTGAAGTACGTTGCGATATATCACGATATATCGCACCGGTGCGACGGTACTGTATTCCGTTTCGCGCTTTACTTCGTTATTGTCACGCTCGCGCGCGTGCGGTCGAAGTAACACAGAAGTCCTCGGCGCGTCTCTCCTTCGCGCGTTAACCTTCCGAGTTCCGCGACCGGTTTCTCTCCGGAATAATCCTTACAATTAATTAGTGTCAACGACGTAGCTCCGCCCGCGATCTGTGTGTGCATTATGTGTGATCAGTGCGCGGGATAATGTGACGCCGTGCGCCACGTTTTCGAAACGCGCGCTCGTCGGAAGATCCGGAGGTTTTCGGGAGTGCCGACTAGTGCGAGAGCGAGAGGCGAGGTCTCGTTTAGTAAAACCGCGATAGTGTCGTAGCGGCCGTGCGTGCGGCGTCCTTTGTGGTCGGCGACACGGGGAGAGCAACAAGAGGAGAGTATACGGGACGAGAGAGGAGGGCGAAAGGACGGAAGGTGCCCGTGAGAGTAGTACGGCGTGAAGTTGCTGCCGCTATACGATTAACGGATACGAGCGACGAGCAGCCGCCGCGCCGGACGGTGACGGGGAGGGTGAGTACTGATTCTTCTTTTTCTCCTCCCGCTTTAGAGTTTATCCGCTCATCTCGCAGCAGCCGTTCTGCTACATACCGATGAAGGCGGATACATGCGTCTGTGTGCGCGCGCGCGCGCGAGAGCACGCTCTCCTGCTCGGATGCACGAAAGCGATGCCGATCGAGCACGCTACCTTGCACGCTCGCATCCGTGGCACACGAGGCGGTGCACGCCACGCGATGACGCGATTGGCTTCGCTGCACGTTCATTCTGTTCGGGTAACGCGATCTCAGGTCCCAGAATGGAATCCTTTCTTCTTCTT